AGAGAGAGACACAGCGAGAGAGGGAACACAAGCAGGGGGAGTGGGAGAGGGAGAAGCAGGCTTCCCGCCAAGCAGGGAGCCCAATGTGGGGCTCAATCCCAGGACCCTGAGATCATGACTTGAGCTGAAGGCAGACGCTTAATGACTGAGCCACCCAGGTGCCCCATGAAGGCAGTTTTCTACTTTAATCTCAGAGGATCGGAAACCTTTTATTTTGACTAACATAGTAACTAGATTTTTCTATTTTTTTTTCCCTTGCCACAGGATTCCTGTTAATGGAGAAAACCCCAAACATCGGTCATGGCATACTTTAACACCAATAGCTGATGATAAACTTTTTCTATTTGGTGGACTAAGTGCAGACAATATTCCATTAAGTAAGTCAATTAAAGTTTAGCCTACAATTATTATCTCATTCTTTTTTCTTAATTGTATTTGATATGTAAGGTGTCTTTCTTTCTTTCTTTTTTAATTTTCTGGTTTACGTTTATCCCCAGCTGTATGCTTGTATTAAGAATTAGAAGACCCCTTTGCTTTAGTACCTTTGGCTCTCCATGTTCTCCTGTTTCCTAGGTATATAGAAAAGAAAGGGTGATGGTTGAACCTAGATGAATTAAAGCCCCTTTCAACTATAATATTCTGTGATTCTGTGCCTTCCTGATTTTTGATCCAGATACTTACACTGTAGGCTGGAATGGGGATTAGAAGAACAGTCTTCCCCAGAAGGCTCTGGAAATATAAGGTGGGAAGGCCAGTTGCTTCTCTTTTTGTTCCAGAACTCTAAAGGAAAGTGCTTAGCCAGAATCTTTAAACTCCTGTTACTGCTGATTCCAATGGCTATGGTTTTGTAATAGGGTTTTTTTTTTTTTTTTTTTCCCAGCAGTAAAATTGTGGCATCAGGATAGACAAATGACTAAGAGTATCCACTTCTTAGTTTGATAGGTTAGATGTCTTGTGTTTTCTTAACTCAGAAGTTTTCCATGACTAGAGGGGTTTTCATAAGAAACCTCATTTATGCAGTCCATATAGGATCTGGAAACAACTTTTTATTTTTCAACAACAATTTATTGAGCATCAGCTATGCATCAGGCAGCAAACAAACTCCAAAAGCTGGTTAGAGAAACAGGAGTTTCTAGTAGGGGATGTTAGTTATTGCAGATGATTATGCTTCTCCAATTTGAAGGTTTTTAATGAAAAGAGATTTGGAGTCTAATAAAAAACTGACATCTATTTGTTTCAGTGGGGGTTGTTTAATATCATGTCTTTTTGAGCTGTAATGTTTTGAATTCCTATTTGGTGTTTTTGGTCATTGACATGTGGGGAATTCCATGTCCTAACTCTTAGTTCAGTCGGTGTCCTCCTGGGCTTAACTTCTGGGTATTATATGATATCAAGAATTATTTTGGGGCTCCTGGGTGGCTCAGTTGGTTAAGCGTCTGCCTTCGGCTCAGGTCATGATCCCAGGGTCCTGGGATCAAGCCCCACATTGGGCTCCCTGCTCAGTGGAGAGCCTCCTTCTCTCTCTGCCCCTCACCCCACTCGTTCTCTCTCCCAAATAAATAAATAAAATCTTAAAAAAAAAAAAAAGAATTATTTTAATTTTGTTGACTATGATAATGGCATTGTGGTTCTGTAAACAATGTATTTTTTAAAGCAATGTTTACTGAAGTATATATGGGGAAAATGACAGGAGATCTAGGATTTGCTTTAGAGTAATTGAGCCACAGGCATAACAAAAAAGAGCTAAATGGAGCACCTGTGACAAAATCTTGATAGTTGTTGAATCTGGGGTATGTGAAGGTTCATTGTCATGGTCACTCTACTTTTGTATATCTCTGAAAATTTTTGTGAGAAAATATGCATACACACAAAAGATAGTTGCATAAATGTAGGAGATAAATTTGGGAAAAAAATTAAATTTTATCCCAAAGACCTAATCTTAATTTCTGAACTGTCATAATTGCAGGTGATGGTTGGATTTATAATGTCATAACAAATGGTTGGAAACAACTTACACACTTACCTAAAACAAGACCCAGGTAAGTCTAGAAGTTAATGAATAGTAAAATAGTTAAGAATTTCTGGAGTATTAAAATATAGCACTGATTTTGTAGTGTTTGCCATTAAAATTGTAAATCATCAAGAAAGATCTTTCAAATAAGCTTGATGTTAACTAAGTAATTTAATTATCATTTTAATTATGTCTGATTGTTAGAAGTGGCCTATTCTGTTTTCATCCATATTTGCATATTTGAAAATGTTACTCTTTTAGGTAAATTATAGGTAAAGTAGGTAAATGTATAATCTTGCCTGATAATATGAAAAGGCTAAGAAATTGGAAGTATCATGTTAATGTTTTTGATAAGTAGACAAGAATGGGGATGGCTTTAGTAGTTACTTGTTTTTGGAAGAGGTTTTTTACAATTTAATGAGAAAATTACTTTCATGTTGATCAAATAGATGGCAGATTATTATTTTAATTAACTGAATGTATTCATTAATATGAATTTTTTGAAAAAGAAATATGTTAATTATTTGTCATATATTATAGAGTAAAAGTTGTAGAAACAATATATTATTAGACTACAATTGATCCTTGAACAACACTAGTTTGAATTGCATGGATCCACTTATTACATGGATTTTTTTTAATAAACACAGTACTGTAAATGTATTTTCCATATGAGTTTCTTTTTTTTTTTTTTTAAAG